ACATGCAAAATTCATCGATCATCTAATTTTTGATTTATATGTTATACAAGCTTATAATTTTACATGTGATCAACATTGGTATTGAACTTGAATTTTGGAAAATTTTAATGGGTGTTATTAATTAACTTTAAAAATTATAAGGGGTCGGATACTTATAACCGTTACTGTATTTCAATATTTATATATATATATTCAAAAAAATTTACCTATTTATATTTAATAATAGTTACAATTATAATGCATTTGCTGATTATATATTATAGTTTAAAAATAAATATTAAAAATAGCAAAAAACAACCACTTTTTTATAATAATAAAATACCTGATGGCTTATCTTATATTATAATATTTATAGATAAAGATGATAGTATAATAAAGTTCAAAGGTATTCAACAAGTCTTTGAAAAGTGTAATTTATAGATAACAGGTTTAAAAATAAAATGCAAAATGTGTATATAATAGGATATATAAATAGGTAATAAGAAATTAGCACATATTTACTAATAACTCTATGCATCTCTTTAATATTAATACTATATAATACTAATTAAAACTATTTAAAATAGAAAATAATTAATATCTTATTTTACGTAAACTTTGTATTATTATTTTTTATGTATTATTTGAGATCCTTATATAATATAATTCTAATTTAATAAATTAAACTATTATATAATACTCATACTTTTTGTTCAACCTGAATTTATATCATAAAAATATACTTATAAAAAGTAAATTGCAATTAATAATTAAAATTTTAACCTTTAATTAACATTTTTTTAAATATACTTATTTTTAGATTATTAAGACAGCAGAATATATATGCATATTCTACTTGAAGTTTTACTGTAAACTTTAATTATATCAAATTTTTTAGGTAGAGATAAAATGATATTTACGTCTTAATTATATTCATACTTAAAAAGTTGTATTATATACATTAGATTCTATTAGTCTAATAAAAATTTATTAATTTTTATATTTTACATATTATATAAGTGCTTACAAACTTAGATTTTCAGGTAAAGTAGCTATTTTTATAATCAAATAATATTAGTTTATTATCATGTTCTTGCAAATATTTTAAAAAAATTATTAACATGTAAATGAAAAATAAAAAATTAGCTAATCATATTCTATTTTATAATTTTTATAAATAAATCATACTTTTATATGTAATAAAAGAATACTAATAAATTTACTATTACTATTTAAATTAATATTAAAAAAATCTAACTATAAAAAATTTTTATAATAAAATATATAAAACAAAAATATGTTATATTATAGACTATATTATGAACTATTAAACAACAAAATATTTTTTTAATATTTTTATAATTTAAAAAAATTTTTTTATATTTTAAGATTATTTGATTATTTAATAAATAATATTACAAATTAATTTTAAATATTTATTTTTTAAAATTTTTAATAAATTTATTTATATATAATTAAATTTTAATTTATAAATCAGAATATAAATTTGATTAATTTAATATTAATCTAAAAAGTAAATTAATTAAATCTAAATCTTAAATTGATTTGAATTAATTTAAAAATTTAATTTTTAATTTAAAATATTTTTTTTAAATAAATAATAATAAAAAGATAATATTATATTGTTGTATACTTCATTATCAAATTAGAAGTTAATAATAAAATATTACGTTATAGCTAAAAATAATTTTATTATAATTATTATTAATAAAACATATAATGATATCAAATTATATTTTTATATTTTATTAATTATATTTCAAAAAAAATCAATTTTATATCAAGTATATAAAGAATATAAATATAAAATTTTAAATTAATTAAAATCTTATATTTTATTATTTATTAATATTTAATAATCTTTATTTTTTATATTATAAATAATTTAAAATATTATTTCTTTTAATAAACTTTATTTCATTATTTTTTATTTTATTATTATATTTAAAATATATCAATATAATTTTAATATTATTTGTAGGTTTTATATAAATTATTATAATAATAAATATATATTTTAACATTAAATAAATGGAAAGAAGAAAATTTAATTTTAATATATAAATAAATTAAAGCTTAAAATTTAAACATTTAGATTAAATTATTTCTATATAAGAATCTTCTATATTTTTGTTAAATATTTTTTTAGTATATTTACTTATAATAAAATTATTTTAAAAACTTTTTATATAAAAAATACAAAGTATTTTAAATAAATAAATAAATATATATTTTGATTTTTAATAAAATATATAAATATATATACCTTATATTTAATCTAATTTCAATTATAAAAATTATAAAAATTATATAATTTAATATTATTTTAACAATCATATTACAAAAAAATAAATATACTTTACTTTTTTTTAAGTCATTATAAGATTACATACAAAGATGATATTATTTATTACTATATAGAAATTTATTATTACCAATTAATTTATATATTAAATGTGATTAAAATCCAAATTATATAACAATGATTTTTCATAATAATAAATATAAAAATTCAAGTTATATGTATGAATGTATAAGTAATTGAAAAGTTTTAGTTCTTTATTATTCTTTTTTTTATTAATTAGTAAGACCTGTTAGTATCAAAAATCAGCTGAAGATTAGTTTAAAAAAAAAATAATAGCAATAAAAATCATTTATCCAGTCAAGCTTTTCTTAAGATCGAACATATTAACTAACTAAAAATTTTTTTTTTGGATCCAGCTCCCTGATGATATATATTTATATAACAAATGGCATATATCAGTTTTTAATTTAACGACTCCGATTACTTTTCCGAGAGTAATTCATTTAAACTTAATCAATTCTAAAGGTAGAAGAAATATGAAACGACTTTATTCAATGTATTATTCAGTGTAATAATTCATGTCAAGAAAACTCAGCGGATATGGCGTTTGGTTATTATGATTTTCTTTACAGTATAGTATCCGCGGTATTTCATCTTATACAGTACGGAGGGGATATTCAAGTAGAACACATCGAATTTAATGGAAACGCATTGGTAAAGGATTCGGAGGAGGAAAGGGAATTACAAAAGTAAGGTAGAAGTAAAGAAGGTCCCAACCTTTCATCAAATCATACTACTGTTTATTGAAAATTTAATCATTTTTTGCATTATATGGTGTTTGTGAGAATGGTATTATGCTAATATCCATTGCCTTTCAGCGAACTTCATGTTAACATGTATGATATGTTCTATTAACCATTACGTATTCTATCATAAAGTCTAGAATTTTCTTAATTTTCTTGATAAATAGCTGTATGAATGTGGAAGTACGATAATTCGCATCGGATTTCAGAATTAAAGCAATCATATTATGGCATTAAATGACAAAATATTTTTAAAATAAATCATGAATCAATTCAATGTATTGAAACTTCAACAAATGAACATTTTTTTTTTAACTAAAAATTAAAACTAAAATGCAACAAAGAAAATAAAGAAATCAAAGAATCATTTGATGAGACCTGATTATAAGTTAATGTGGATTATAAAGAAAAGATGATTCCTCATAAGAACTGAGGGTTTTAATGTACATATTGGCTTCCTATATTGGATTCAGGCTCGCACTTAGCACTTTCGATGCGAAAGATGAATCGGAAGCATTAAAGATTTCGGGCAAAGCAGCAGAGGTTAGCTAAGTGGTTAACATTTGTTTGTGCTCTAACGTAAATGTAAATTCTCGAATGATCCCTTTATAACTAATAATTTAAAAATGTTTATTTATACATATATATTTGTTTATTTTTATTTTATTTATTTTTTCTTTTTAAAAAAAAACAATATATTGAATCTCATCTATAAAAATATTAAAAATCTACTCGCATGTAAGATGACTTAATCACGACCTGCATTAATATATAAAAATAATGAAATAAATTTGATACTATAAAAAAAAAAAAATAATAAAAATAAGATAAAACTATAATAAACTATAATAATACTATAATAAAAAAATAAAGAAATAAGAATTTCATGTTTTCATCATGTTCAAATAACCTAAAGCATAAATCCAAGAAAGACAAAAGAAAAAAAGAAAAAGAAATAAAATATACTCTCCATGCGTACATCCACTCATGATTTTATTGTTCAGCAACATGGAACAAGCTTTAAGTCATCCTTCCAAACGTCTATACCTTACCTTTGAACTTGTGCATGCTTCTAATGGATTACATCGAAATAAACAGTATTAACAATGAGTCAGCTTCCGTTAACACTCAACGCAGGTTAAAAAAGAAGATTCAGTCTTGACGAGTATTATTAATCTTAAAAGTGCGTCTATGAATTTGAAGATTAATTATTTTTTGCATAATTTATCCTTTTCCTATTGATCGGTTCCTTTTTTTTTTGTTTTTTTTTTTTTTTAGTTTGTTTTTGTTTGTTTTTTTTTTTTTTTTTATGGTTATGGAAACATTAAAATACATTTTGATGCATTGTTCGCCGCAAATAAATTGAATGCATCCAGACACCCCACAACCTCACCGTTATTATTACCAAACAGTGTCCTAAGGCGTACTTTTCAATTATTGACTTACTCCTGTATTAGAGACGAAGAAGCTAGGTCAGGTGGAGACGAGGAACGGGTCGATTTAACATTTTCAATTGATTCCAAATTGGAACCATTAACTTCCACATTTCCAGCTATATCCGATTTTGTCATCATTTTGTTGTCAATTGTAGACTTGACTGACTCGCTTGATCCATTTGAGCTTCGTCGCGTCGGCACGATTGATTTTGTCTATTAAGAGCCTTACTAATCAACAAGTGATCATGAATTCAGCTGCAAATAAAATAGCAAAACGCAACAATGAATTTTTCATCTTCACCTTCGTAACGGTTTTCGTCTTACGTTTAGGGTGTCGTTGCCCACCTTCTTCTATTGCTTCGGCTTTACGCTTAATCTTCGTGGATCGTTGACCACCTTCCTCATCTAGTTTACGCTTGAGTTTCGTAGGTCGTTGTCCACCTTCTTCAATCACTTCCGGGGGGAGTTGTGCACTAATTATCAAAAATCCTAGCTGAATCCGATGATAATATTTAGCAAGAAATTTAGTTATGAATATCATTACCCACCTTTTAACATACTTCACTACTATGCCCATGTATCTGTCGTCATATTTATCCCAACTTTTAACCAATTTAGTAAATTCCGACGTAGGCCATGAAATATTTAGTTGTCGAGGTGCTGATGTTGATCCAGCTAATAATATTATTTGATCATTGTTTCAAATTAAAAAAAAAGTTAATGAGATCAGACAAATTTTTGTGATACGAACCTGCACGTGGTTCAACATCTAATCCAACATAAAAAGTCGTGGTATAAACAACTCGACCAGCGGATGTGTCACTACCATTTTCATTTTCATTTCCATTTCCATTTTTCGAAGAACCCGTACCGTTTCCCTCACTGGTAGATTTTAAATTATAAATTCCATGTGAAACATCATTCGCGTCTTGTTCTGTTGCACAACGATGAACTTTATCAAACCCATTTACAAATGGATGAGCTAAACATAAGTTATCTACTCCTTCCAATTTGGATATCAAATGGCGAATCCTTGATTCGACCATTCCAGACCTGATAATTATGAATTTAATGAAGTCATAAAATCACAAATAAACAAAAAAATCTATTAAGCGTAAGTAATGCAAACCATTTCAATTGTCTCTCTGCAGAATCAGATGATGCTATAATTTGAAGATAATATCGATATCTGCAAAAAAATTCATGCTTTGCAAAGAGATCTGACCATTTTCCAGTTCCAATCATAACTTTATCTGCTATTTCAGCAGCTGTAAATATTATAGGAAGAGTATATTTATAATCAATCAAAAAATGACCAAAAAAAAAAAGTATAATATTAAAACCTCTTTTGAATTCTTCTTCAATTATTTTTTTGGTAGATTGTGTCACATTATGTGTAGCGCACATCGAAGGATATGCAGGAGTAATAATAGGCATCAAATGGTATCTATCCCCGTGGTATATCTGTCGAAAAATCAAATAAAAAACCCATCGGAATACTCAAAGCATTTGAGATTATAAAAAGATAAATATTTACAAACCTTTGGATTCCAAACTCTTACTTGCAGGGGACCATCTTCAATTGGTTTGAGTAATACCGGTTGTGGCCAATTCCTAATTTGATATAATCATTTATAAAACTTTGAAGGCACTTATAAAAGAACAATAAGAATAAAAAAAAAAAAATAATATAATAATAATAATAAAAAAACTCCACACCATTGGTACATAATTCTGAAAAATCGAGAGACAATAGCACCCGCGATCGCATTTGGATATAATTGGCAAATCCTAGCCACTAACATGGCCCAGGCTACTCCACCAAAAAAGCCCATTACATTCGAATAAATTGCACGTCCTATAAAAATAATTCACTAGGAATGATTGCACGTTCATTAGAGAATTATAATAAATAAAAAAATCGACTTACTCTTGGCCCACAGTTTGATGCATCTCAGTGATGTTCTAAAGGCTGGTATACTAGGCACGAGACGCAAAATTTCGTCTGTCACACGCGATCCTATTGCAAATGTTGGATTTTGATGCATTATTTGAAGATTTCTATACTATTAGGATAATATAAACACTTACCATTAAGGCTTCTTATACACGTCTCATCCAAATTTTTTAAAAGTGAATTCTCCCTAAGCTCAATATCATCAGGAACCTTAGTAACATTTAATTTTGCAAAAACAAGATCTATCTATTGGAATTAAAAGCAAAAACATATTTTGATAATTAAATAAAGGTACGATTAAATCATAATGAACAGCTCAATTCTGCTACTCACAGGAATATCTTGAAACTTCATTTTGATTACTGGAACATATGCATCAGTGACACTCTTAAAAAGACGTACATGTAAATAATTTTAAATAACAGTTAAGAAAAAAAAAAAATTAAATTTAATAAAATGTATCTACCGTTAATTCAGTAACTTCATTTTTTAAAGAAAAAAGTGAATCATGCATATCAATAAAAAAGTCTTCCCGAGTTACATGCCTTGGAACGACACATAACGTATCAATATCCGCGCCTATAGATATTTTGTAATAAGCAAAACTTTTCGGAAGGAATAATAATTGTAATAATAATATCTCTATACATACCAGCATTATGAACACCTAACCTGTAAGAACCAAAGGTAAATATTTTCCCACCAGCTTCCCTTGCGTCAGCTTCAGGTAACTGTCTCTTTTTACTTGTCCGGTAAACAAATTCTTTAACTAATTTATCAAGCTTTCCAAGTACGACTTCTCTAAAAAGATTATGGAAAAAGATTATGGCTTACATTCGTTCGTTTTTCTTATTTTAGCGGTTTGGCATTAAGATAACTGAAAACTAACCGGCGACGACTTTCTTCTTCACTTTCAAAAGTTCCTTGAGCAGTAAGTTCTTGAACCAGTAAATCTGTGACCTCGATTTCTCTCGGAGTCGGATAGTTTAAGGCGATTGGTGGAGTAACACCAAGGTGTTTTAATTGACTATAGGAAAAAATTTTTTTTTTAATTTTCATAATTCAAGATTAAACTTTACTTTGTATTTATCTACTAAAAAGTTTTTTTGTGATTAATATTAAAAAATTAATAAGAAGCTTACCCGTTGGATGATAGATCAGACATAACTTCTTAAAAACAAAAGTCAATCAGGTTTCAGGAAGAATCAACTGTTCAAACATATAATAAGTAAAGGATAATAATTAAATATAACCTTCAAATAAAAAAAAAAAAATAAAATAACAAAAATGTAAATAAAATCAACGATGGCTGAAGATCATCATTATGCAGCCTATTTGCCCGTATTTTCACATTTAAGGAATTCATTTGTATTATCGATTATAGTATTATCAATTATATTATAGTATTATGCTAGTAATGTAATCATCATATTATTTATATATATCGTATATATTTAAATATCCCCCGAAATTCACATCTTTTTTGACGCGTTCTCAGTATGAATTTCTTTCCATTTAGCGCGTACATTGGCTCTAGCAACAAATATGTTTATTTTCAAAAAACTTTAATTCATATATTCATAAAAGGAAGATCATCGATAGTGGCAGAATACTTTTCCACTGAAACTCTTCGTAATATGAAAAAATTAGGGTTTTCGCAAATTCAACCTTCTGAAAGTACGACTTTGTAATAGAATAATTATTATTATTATTATTTTACTTAGTTTAAAAACATTTAGAATGTAGAAGTATAAGAATTGTTTTATTTTTAATTTATCACGAGTTTATTTAGAAAAGAATTTTATTATCTATTTGCTTATACGACTTTTTTCTCGTGAATTAGAATTTCGACAACCTCAATTAGTTGCTTTTACCGTGACGAGTAATATTGAATTAGCAATGTAATTTTTAATTGTCATTTATATTTAAATAAATAATTCCCTAACAATAATATAATATTTTTATTGATTTGTAATTTATCTCTCTTTAACAAAAAGCCTCGCCCCTTATTTGCTTTTATGTAATGCAACAAAATCTGAATTTCGTTTGTGGCAACTAGGAGACTATGAGAAGACATGGGATATTAATTTATCTGAAAAAATTCTTGATGCTACGTTTTGTGGTGAGCGATTGTTGTCTTTTGTTCAATTCAGTTAAAAAAAAAAAAAAAAAAGAAGTCATTAATGTCTCCTTAGGTGCTATTATCATGGACGGACCGATGATTGCATTCATATATCAAAACGCGTCGGAAGATGACTTCACTTTTTTTGAAGAAAATAACACTCATATTATTTTATGGAGGCCATTATTGCAAAGAAATATATTATGTTCACTTTCCTTATTAGCACATAGTATCCAGGGATTCTGGCTTCCTCATCAACAAAATGGTATCGTTGATGATGTCGACGAACCTTACAGATTCATTAACGTAGTATTTCGACCTCTATATGAATCTCGCATTACAATGCGCAATTTATTTGAAAAATACCCTTCCCCAATACCTTTTTTTATTTCCATGATTCCTGATTATTGTGCAAAGAATATCACTTGTTTACTAAGAACCAATCACCTATGGAACAACGAAGAAATTATATGGATAGGAACTTCCCAAGGAAATATTATATGCATCAAGAACGTCGATAACATTGGCGATATAAAGCCAATATGGTGTACTGACATTACAAGTATTCCTTTGAAGATGTATGATTTTAGTTAATTCTTTATATTAAAAGTTGTAACGTTTGATGACATAAGAGTTAATCTTTTAGGGAGGAAGTTCAATTAGGTGACAAAGTAGGAGGGTTGGATTCTGTTTTAATTATCTATTTTGAAAACGGATTAACTATCTTGAATTCTGATAATGGCAAAAAATTACGAGGTAATATTTTTATATTTGATTAAAGAGGTTTCTTTTTAATACTTATGTTAAAAAACAGTTGCAACTTTCAAATGTTAGAATTTTCCAATGAAATTATTATACTGTATGGTGATTTCTTTCAATGTGGATATCAAAGCATCGTACAGGTGCCTTGCATATTCAATGACAGCTTAATTCTTATCAGCAATATTAACGTTGAAAATGTTAATACTAAAGGTTTTATTTTTTTTGTGTGATTTTTTTTAGATTAATGAATAATGAAACTTAAATAAATTCAAATATTTTTATTTTCATTAAATTATAGAAGGAAATATTTCACATTTAAGCTCTCTTCTCGATTCTTTATTAACCAGAATATATGATGGAACAGCACAGATACGAAAAATCGAAGAGATGGTAAGTAATAGTTTGTTTTGCTATTTCTCTTTTATTTATATTATTTACTTATGTCTATTCAATTTACAGATTGATAAAAAATATAACCTTTTAAAACACAGTGATTCTTTACTTCATACATTTTCCTATTTAATGGGTTTATACTATCTGAAGCAAACAAGGTTTACTAAACAAGTCTTACGACATAGTAAACACACTAAGGGACTTATACCACTTATCTCTCACATACGAAATTATACAAGTAAAGAGATTTGTACCAACCCAGAAGACAATCCTTCTTATATTGAAATTATCGAAGCAAAGGCGAACATTGGAAAATTTAATCATAATGAAAATATTTTAATAGAAATTTCGGTGCGAAATAAGAGCTTGTGAGTATAAATGTATCTTAGGAATTATTTTATTTATCTTTATACTAAAAAATATTGACAGACTTTTTGTTAATTTTAATTAGCCAAGATTTATATGCTGTCCATTTAGTTACATATTTTAAGAATACCTCTAACCTTATGTCTTCAATGTTAAAATCAAATTCTTCATATATCAATTTGCTGCATATAGGAGAATCGAGAACTATCTTATCCTTGATAGATTTGCCACTTGATCTTGTTTCAGATCATTTAGAATTTGGTGCATTCATATTGTACTGTAGAATCGACGAAAGTTTTGTTTCTAATTCCTATCAAATTTCTGACGAAATGATTTGGGAAACGTTATGCGTAAAGAAAATCAAGAAAACCAGAATGATAAATCAAGGTATGATTATAATCGACTTTCAAGTGTCGTATAATTGAACAAAATCTAATTTAACACGAACTTTACTAGACTTTGTTCATTTGCTTCCTTCTATGACATATCTGATTTTTACAACTACAAATTCTTTGAATTGTCAATGGAGCATATCTTTGTTACCTTTCCTCCTAGAACAATATTTAGGTGTAATTTCAAAAGATGACTCTGAAAGTGATATTTTTAAAGATTATAGACATCTAGATGGTTTGCGTTGGATAAAGATATTTCGATCTTACAAATGTTTGAATGATTCTGTAAACGAAGTAGATCAATTTTCACGCGTTACAAAGCAAATAATGGCAATGCGTGGACAGAATGACAGAAATTTGATTAATATGTTGGTACATCTATTAAATGAAGATATCCTTTTATTTAAGAAATATATTTTATGTTCATTGGTTTATTTTTTTGTTTTATCTTTGACGTCGGTTTTTGTTCTTTTCCTCTTTTTTTTTTTTTTTTTTTTTTGTCGATAACGTCTTTCAGTTACATTACCGTTTCCGTTATTTACTTCGACGAAAGCTCTGAATAATTTAAATGATGTGCTACATATTTTAGAACAATTAATTATAGCAGATCTAAATCTTGAAGACAAAGGAAAGAATGTAACAATAAATGGAAGATCTGGAAAATTACGATGTGAATTATGTATACTAGCAACCACTTGGTTGTATAATCTATGACGAACAATTAATAAAGGAAATATTTGAAATTTACAGACAATCGGTTTAAATATTATGAGAGATCTCTATCGACGATGCAAATTAAAAATCGATAACTAATTGCTATAATGTCATATTGTATATTAAACCCTTAATATTCACGATAAGGTCCTAAGTAGTAGAAATATAAGTCATAACTTTATATGTATTTATTATATGTTCTTCTCTTGTTTATTTTAAGAGAATTAATCTAAATCATGATGATAATTTTTATTTACAAACAAATATAATTACAAATTGACAGTTAATATTATTTACATTTTTTTTCTTTTCAACCATTTTTTATCTATCCTCAATGATTGCCAAACTTCGTCAATTATTGCCCTTGGCCCACCGATAACAAGGGATTGGTCACCATCTACCATTTGCGATTTTATATTGCATAGAGTACGAAATGCAATAACCCAGCAAACTTGTCCATCAAGCTTCTTTTCAACAGAAGATAGATAGAGAGAAGCAGCTTTCAGTTGTAATTCAAACATGCCGAGTGGGTCTAGACTGTTTTCAAAAGTTGTTGACGTTCTATCTTTCAAAAATTTAAAAATGCTACTTTTATAGTCTTCAATTGGTGGACTATTTAGAAACTTGTTTAGAAATTCATAATCCACACCTTTAAACTCGTCATTTAATCTAGAGGAATTTGTCGTCAAAGCTGATTTTGAAGACGATAATTCAATTTCTTTTCTATCCTGATTATCTTGGTAAATATTAGCACATTTTTTATTATATAGTTGTACTAATTCCGACATGGAGTTGGCAATAAGATTTAAGTCCTCCTTATATGCTGACCCTTCTTTCATGTGTTGAGCCCTAATGAATTCATTTGTCCAAAATTCATTAATATGAGTATCAACCAAATCTTGTGACATCTTTGCTACCGAAAATTCTTTGCTATTTACTTCGTTTGTCTCTTTCTCTATTGTAATGCAAAGTAAATCCATTATGTTCGTAACTCCGAAATTATCTCCACTGTCTGGTTTCATTTTAAGACGATCTTTGTCCATCCAATAAGGAACAGGAAGTTTTCCAAATAACTCATTATCACTATGTCGAACACTTGGTTTGATGGTAAGTCCCTGTTTAGTAGAATCAACAAGCTGTGCACACATTTGAGCAAGATAAATTGACTGCTTATCAGATATTCCAAATCTAGAGGAATGTAGTTTATGCCATCGATCATAAAGACCTAGTACTGGTTCCAAGCCTTTAAAATAATTATCTAAAATAACTTCCTGCATTTTGTATTCAAAGGAAGTTCTAGAAGAGGAAAATAAACTTTCAATTAATTGTTTATTTTCATTAAAGGCATTTTTAACATTTGGATCAATAGGTAAAAGAGGGGCATTTTTGAAATGTTTAACAATTTGCGGATCCCAGCAACAGAAAATCTAAAAATAAATATATAAATGATTAATAAATACACACACGCATATATTTTTTAAACAAAAAGATTTGAAATATTATATTACTTTGTCCCCATCGTAATCTCCACCACTTATGTGGGTAGCTAATGATACATCTCCTCTTTCAGCATTTACAGGAAATATGACAACGTTATAGTAAATACTCAGATGCATATTTTTAACCGCTTTCACTTTGACAAGATCAGAAGGTAAAATAGATGGATTTCTAGCTAGGATAACTTCATCTTCAATAATTCCAAATGGCAATCCCGTCCGTTCATCACGTCCTGATTCTTTATCCAATTGAATAAAGACTTCTCCTGGTTTCAATGTTCTTGTTGGATCGGCAATACATACTAATACGCGGGATAAAGGAAGTTCTATTCGAAACTTATTACATAGTGACTTTAATACGTTCATGAGTACAAGTTTTAACTTTTTCGCTAAAAATGGACTCGTGGAAGGGGTGAAACCTGCTTGTATCATCTGGATACATTGTTCAGCTGGACTATTTGGAAATCCTGATACAGCACTTCCGTCAAATCCTAAATCAACGGATGATTCTCCATAGTTACTTCCATCATCTGAATAATCATCCTCGAAATGATTAAAAACTTCTAATCTCTTTTTCATAACCTTGGAGACATTAGTCACCCAAGATATTAAAGAGTAAGGATCGTCACAATTTACAACTTCAGATTTGATATTATCGAGAAAATCTTTCATAATTTTAAGGAAAACTTCAACAGGAACACCCCCATTGTATAAAACTCGAATGAATTGACTGTTAAGTGTACCTGGAGTTCTCGGTGAAACTACGACACGCAAAACTTCTAAAGTACGTAAATGAGTGTCATCAACATCTGAATTTTGATTCACATTATACTTTATTTGTGATCTTCGTAATTCAATCCATTTATCGCCACTGTTGTCCTTGCGTGGTTCAATGTACCAAATGCCTTTTGCCCCTCCAATCCTGCCTTGAATAGCGGAAGGGGTTTCTTCCAAACCCAAGATTTCGGAAACTTCCTTCATAGCGACCAAAGAGATTGCGGCACATCCATCAGTGAAGCAATGATTCTCTATTGTGATATCTTCGACGTTATATCGAATTTCATTTGGTTTGAAGATAATTGTAGGAGTAGAATTAGAAAATCCCAAAGAGATCCGAGAATAGAACTTTGCAGTGGTCATCTTTTTATTAAGCTCTAGTGGCAAGTTACAATCGATAACTTCCCTAATTGACATATTTTTAAGGCCTGATCCACTTGTTGCAAAATAATATAATGTTTCCGATTTCGCATATAAAAACTCGTATTTTCTTCCAGCAAGTGATAAAGGGCATAACAATAAATTTTTCAAATTTGATTTTTGTTTATTGTTCAAGCTATTAATGTTCATATTAACTTTTAGATGAAGAAATCTCTCGGATGAGAATAATCGGTAATATCTCTTGGAAGTACCGATCTTTGGAGGGTGTAATGTTAATACTAGATGACGATCTTTGAGCACCACGTCTCCTGAAAATATTACGTGAGCTCTAGGTCCAGCTGGAGGAAATTCCTTTAAACTCAGAGCCCAGACATGAATAAGATTTTTATTTATTAACTTCGGCATTTCAGTGAAAATATTCACGTTGTGTCGATTTAAATAGTATTGTTTACATTCTTCATGAAGAACTTCATGGATCTCCACGCCACATTTTATTTTGATTTTGTTCCAGAGTTTATCGGTTGGTTCAATTGGGCCAAATGGATTCAAAATTCGTACTATCTCGTATCTGTCCAAAAATGCAATACCATCAACATACTTTTCATATTCTTCGGGCATTTTTGTTGACAAGCGGTTCCGTGTAACTACCCAAGGATCTTCAAATTTTGGCCATAATGATGATGGATTTGGTGCTTTAATTGATGATTTTGATGACATCGATAAAGATGATATGGATGAAACTAAATAGGTGTCATCGTTTTGACCTAGCGAAGATTCCCATTCCTCGTCTTCATCGCTATGTCCTGGTAAATTGACAGAAACCTTGATTAACTCTTCCATAAACATTTCACGTAACTCGGGAATATTTTTTGACGGCATTGTTTCTTTCAACTTATTCTCTACCGTAAATCGACGAACGGTACTATCAAGTAAATCCGGATCGACCGTTGCGATTTCAGTCATAAAATTTCTATGGTCTCTTGTAACAAACACTTCATCTAAGTTTATACGACCAGGAATATGTTTGGTAATTTTTTCCAGCCGGCGTATATACGTCGATACCGTTTTATGGATATCTCCTGGCTCGTTAAGTGAGCTTATAGTTGAATTAATATTCATTATATCATAAATAAAAAAAGAAAAAAAAAGAAATTAAATTAACGAGCGTAATCGACTAGCAGAAAGATAAAATAATTTTTTAAATTTAAACATTTTTAAGTAACACCCATTGAATTTCTATTTTAAGCAATGTCGCTGTTTGACAAAAGCCTTATTTGATTCAGGGGTCTATGTGTGAATAATTATTCCCACACATTAACAAAATCCTATAAGCCACTACCTATGTAGATTAAAAATTCTAAGGAAAGAAGTTAAAAGTAGAATTAGATATAATTATATAATTAATTTTCTAAGTATCATACCGTATAATATATTTTTTAGGTCGATCCAATTTAACATACCCCCCCCAAAATGAAAAAAGCCTATAGTATAATAAATTCCATTTTTATTAATTTGTAACAGTATACTACTACTATTTTAGAATTTAAACACCACAAAAAATTACAACGATGTTGAGAAACTTTTCTCTGTTTTTTATTTTCCTTATTTTAAAAAACATGCATTTGATTGTTACGGTTAAAGAAGATATCGAAGTTATTGTTAAACCGACCCTTTTAATAGTTGATGATTATTACTTTGAAAGTCTTTTTTATAAAGTTACACTGGACGCATATAGACAGAAATTTTAAAGTTTGTTGCCGAGTAAGCGAAAAATTTCATGGACTCGATTGAAAATTCGAATGATCTTATTACAGAAGTAATTCAGGATTTAATTTTACAGAACTGAAGTTTGCAGTTGATTTTAGCATTAAGAAATGCATTAGGTCTCATTATGCAGAATGCAGTCCAGCAAAAATTACCAAATCGGAAGCAACCTAATGATCTGCTATATACATTCTTCTATTTATAATGATCTAAGGATGCAGTTTAGGTTTAAATGATTATATTAAACAATATTTTCTTAAATTGAGAATGCAAAGACATTGTTTTATTAAAAATTTAAAATTAACACTTCAAATAGGTTTTTATCAGTATCATGCTAGTAATTATTAGAACTGTAACTTTATATGAAAAGTATTAGTTAAAATTAGTAACCATTTAGAAAGACAAATACATAAACATTATTATCTATATAAAATCTTATACCTTATTAATTTATATATTGTAGAGTCAAAAATTCACAAAACAATATATTATGTAATCTTTTCTGACAAAAGAAGATAATATATCAAAGAAATTATAATATAGAGGGATTAAGAAACAAATAATCAAACAGAAGATTATGATAGATAAATAATTAGCAGAAATTATAATAAAAGAGCTATTTATCAAAATCAAATAATATCAAAAGCATATCATGTAATTCAGAATAAAGACAAATTATTTAATAAGAAATACAAACATATTACGAAATACAAGTAAATTACATAATATAAAATAAAGTCAGATACATGATAAAAGATAAGTAATTAAATTATATTATATTACAAAACATAAAATACATAATATAAAACAAGAATAAATCACATAATACAAGTAAAGTTATAAAATATAAGTAAGTTATGAAATATAAAAGAATAAATTATCAAAGTATAAAAAAAAATAATAAAACTTTTAAGATAATAGAAGAAAAAAAAATAACTTATGGATATGCAAAAAGGTTATATAAAGCTTAAATAAAAGAAACCAATAAAATAAAATCATATAATATTTGTATAATTTATATTTTTAAAAAAGAAAATTAATAAAAATAATAAAGAAAGAACAAATATATATATATAAATATAAAAAACAAAGAAAAGATTTAATATATAAAATATTAGAAACATAAAAGAATAAAAAAATAATTATAAAAAAAAGAAAAAAATAACTAAAACAAAAATAATGATATTATAAGAATATATAATAAAATATATAATGACTAAAGATGGTATTTATAATTAATTTAATAATATATTATAATTATAAAATTTTATAATTTTATTTTAACATTTGTTATAATTTATTATGATTAGTAAACGAGAATTGTTGTTAAGTTCAAAATAATTTTAACTAAAAAATTTACACTGATATTTGCTTTATTTAAACTTTATACAATTACAAAGTTAATTAGCATCAATTCAATTACTAAACAGGTAGACATTAGAACACTTTACATAGAAATATATAGTTTTTCACTTCATTCTGAATTAATCAAAAATTATATTATAATTTAAAAATAAGATATAATTAACTATAACTTAAAGTATAAAGTATAATTTGTCATAACTTAAAATATAATTATAACTAACTGTAATTTAAAGTATAAAATAAAATTAATTATAATTTAATATATAAATTATATTTAAATTGTATAGTAACTTAAAATAAATTACCCATCATTAAATATTACAAATATTATAATTATTATAATTAAAATTATATTAAATAAAAATAATGTAATTGATAATCAGTAATTTATTATATTTAATAAAATAATTAATAAACAGATTATAATATTTAATAAAATAATTGATAATTGATTATTTATAAAATTTTTTGATAATCTTTAAATTTATCATTTTACTTTTAAATAAAATTTAAAATAAATATAAATAAAAATACTTTAAATTTTTTATCATTTGTAAATAATAATAAAATATCAAAATTTCTTCAAAAAATACTAATAAAACAAATGATAATAAAAGTAGAAAAAGAAGATAATAAAAAATTTACTTCAATTTAAGAATATGTAATTAAAAAAATAGAAATATCTAATGATCATTATAAAACTACTTATATATACAGTCAACTTTTAATATAGCGAACTCTTAATATAATGAATTTTTTGAACAAATATAATAAAAATACTCTTGTTATAGTGAATTGGCCAATTAAATTTCTTAAAATCTTCACTATAGCTTTATAGCAAAGTTGAGGTCTAGGACATAGAGTTCGTTATAACAAGAGTTGACTGTATATTACCAATATGAATAGACTATAGGTAAATCATAAAAAATATATTAGCATTTAACTTTTCATAATAATAAATATTTTAAAAATATAATACATATATTTGTAAAAGAAATTGTAAAATAGTTATTTTAGATAATGAAAAATATTAAAAAATTATAAAACATATAAAAATTAATTTAAAATAAACAAATATGTATCAATATTATAATAATAGTAAAATAACAAATAGTAAATAAAATTATAAATAATATATTAAATAAAATATTTATTTGTTGTATATAATACTTATTATAATTAAAAAAAAATTTTATATAAAAGCTATATTAAATTATTAAGAAAAAAACTTATAATAGAACTTTTTGAATAAGAATTAATCTAAAAGTTGAAAAAGTTTTAGAAATTACAAATAATTTAATATTAAGTAAATATAACTATATATTATAATTATTTTAAATAAATAAAAGAAAATAATAGTATAAAGACAAGGCCTTAAATATCTCTTTTTAAATTCATAAATAATGTATAATAAAATATATTTTTTATAATAACTTGGTTAATATTATACTAAAAATATAATTTTACTACTATTAGAATTTTTTTATTGAAATGATTCTAATAAATCTAAGATCATTAAATCTAATTACTGATTAGTTTAAAAATCAGTATATATACAATAGCAAATTTTGAAATTTTTTCTGTAACATATAATTCTAATCAGAATTTATATATAAACTCTATGCAAACTCTAATCTAAGTTATTTAAGAGATTTTAAAGTTCTATAGAAATATTAAATTAAAAAATGCTAATTATAAAAATAATAATTATGATAATTATAATAAACAAATAACTAAAATTTTAATAATTTTAATTATAATACTAGATAGATAAATATCACTTATAGGATAATCTTTATAAAATTTTGTAATTTTTATACTAACTTAAAAAAAATATTTATTTTAAATTAAAGATTTATTAGAAGTATTATATATTAAAGAATTAATTATAAAAGAAATCTTTAAAATTCTTAATAAGATTAATATTAGCAAATTTTATGTAGTAATAACTGATATATTTTATTACATCAGGAATATTTTTAATGCGAAGTATTGCGTAAGATTTACGATTTGTAAACTTATGCAAATATTACGGCGT